TAATAATAATAATCTGCTCTTACTATTCTATAAGCGATGGACTCGACTGTAGCTGCATGTTTCCTCCTGCCCCAGGTGCTTCTCTTTATTCTACCAGCTTCCAGCTTTTGGACACCAACTTTCTTCTGCTCCATTTTTGTCTGCTGCTGAGCATAATTTTCTTCTTAAACAAACAACAAAACACACATCGTAAGATCTTCAGATTTTTCTCTTTGACAAAAGTCACATTTAGTCAAATTTTAAAAAATAATTGCCAGCTAAGATTTAAAGATTCACAAGCTTACCAGCAGCATTTTCAGTCAACAGCTTCACTCCTGTATCGATCCCTGATGGGTGGCTGGAGGTCTTTTCTGACTCAACTGTCTCTGAAGAGGTTTCTGAGACTGCTTTCGTGTCATACAGGAAATCCAAGCTTATCCCCAATAAAGCTGTGCCAAGGAGACCAACAACAACAATCCATGTCCTCGGTATTTGCATTTGCACGACTGGATGTTTGCTCACGTCAAGCTTTTTTCAGTTGAAGAGAAATGTCCAAAATTTCCCTCCGAGCTTCAGGGCTGAGGCAAAGGAGAAATAAATCCACAGACAGTTTTTTTCCCGAAGGAGGAAATTCACATGTAGCAGTCAGATTAAGAGCTTAAACAAGCAAGCTGGAACCTCTGTTCACAGAGAAAAGTGAAAYGAGAATGAACGGAACAGGAGGAGGACAGGTTGACAAAATAAACTCCCACAGTGCTAATAAAGGCCTTCAATCATACCATGAAATACACAGACACACCCCTGCTCCTCCTCGTCTCCTCTCCCTGTTCTTGTTCAYAACAGTCTGCAGCTGAGAGTGGACAGACTTTTTTTGAGACGATGTCAGACTAAATGGGAAAGAAAATATATATATWTGTGTGTGTGTGTACTTTTTTGGGAACATTATGAGTTAAAGTTCTAAGTATGAATGTTATTTAGGACAGCTTGAATAAGAACAACCAGTCTAAAACCAATGTCCTCAACATTAGGGTGTTTAGGAGGGTCTCATGAGGCTATATGCATTGGCTTTTGGTAAATGTGTGCCACCCTCAGTGGTCCTCACAGGGCTGGCCCATGGCGTAGGCAGTATGGGCAAATGCTATCCATCTAGTGGGGCCACAAATGGGGTACCAAAAGTAGTAACGTATCATATGATACAGTCAAGACTAACTGGTGTTCAGCATGTTAAAAGAAAAACAGAATACGGATAATGTGAGTTTCAATTACGATCTCAGATAAAGTTCAGGTTAAAGTCTGGTTTTCAGTGCTCTACCTTCATAAAATACTGATTTTATGTTGTTGATTAAGCCCAAGAATTTTGTAAAATGCTCTTCAAATGGCTGGGAAATGCATCATTTTGGGTAGATCTTTTACAAAGTTCTTCACTTGACAGTTGCTCGTTAACATGAACAGGTGTTCCTCGTCAGCAATCATCTGGTATTCTCTTTGAAATGAATTATATTGCTAGCTACTATATTTGGACAACCTTGTTTCTAAAGATAAAAAGTAATATCAAAGACAAAACGATTTCATTGGTATGCAAAAGTATGTAAAATGGCAGTGAGATTTAAAAACTGCACAAGGGGCACCACCTGAAATCTTGTCTATAGAGCCAAATTTGCTAGGGTCCAGGCCACCCAGTTGAAACATTTTAGGAGGTGCCATGTACGTATGATGACGGTCATTGCCACTCATCTTGAAGCTCATCCAACCTGGTCCAGAGTTGACAGACAGTTCAAGTCAGAGCCCTTCTTGTTAGGTCGAGCTCCAGTAGCATCTACGTATGAAAACAAACATGACCTCCGAAGAGGCCATCTTTACATTCTGTACATCCGTGCTGTTGATGAACTGTGKCGTGTGTGCATCCTCACACTCACCCTGGCTGTGGCTTGTGGTAGGTCTCCATGTTAGCACTTTCCTGGCTGAAAGTGGAGCCAAAATGGGAGTTTCACCGTGGAGTGAAACATGCTGACACTTTTTTTYCCTACTGTTGTAACCCAATTAAATATTAAATGTCTTAGAGTGATTCAAAATTATTTCTAAGTTTTATCAGAATAATAGTTTGAGGTTTACATAATTTATGCCCATCCTTTGGGCTTTGTTTTCCCATGTGTGCTGCTAGACACAGACATTTTCCAAATGGCACCCTGGACAACTTAACACTAAACACAGAAACACTGGGGTCTTGACGCKCTCCTCTAAGGTAAACAGTGATGTGTCCAGAGGTGATTCATTTAAATCCTGACAGGAACATGCAGTAATCCACAGAACACATTCAACACCTTCCATAACCTCAGTCTGACAGCAGCCTGCAGGAACAATTTCCACCATAATGAATGGTGCTTACTCTGGGTTCTCACACCTATTAATAAGTCTCAGTTACATGATGTGGGTAGGGCATTTTTATTTTTCTTAATCCCTTTCCTGTCCTCTCACAAATAATGAAACCATTGTCAAGACTTCAACTTTGTTTTGTTTTAGCCAACAGGAAACCATCAGTGGATACTTTTATCTACCCAATCTTTTCTTATAGAAATGTATGGTCAAATATTGAGTTTAGAATTAAAATAAATCTGTAAGTATCGAGAAAGTATCATTGAAATATTTTTGAGACAAAAATAAAAAAATGTTTGYTTCTATAAACATATTTCTCATTAATTCATAACTTATAAAAAAGGGGCAGATATAAGATTTATTCTTCTGCTGCTGCCTTTCATTTTATTTGATTTTATTTTGATTGTTTTTTTTTTGTTCTTTGTTATTTTGTGTTACAAGTGAAATTAATACGTTTCTAAAAAAAATCTTCAGATATTTTTGATCAACTTATACTTAAAATCCCAATTATTCAACTCAATTACAGTATTAAAATGAGAAAAAAATGTATGTCTATTTTATGAAATCTTTACCAACCCACTCACAAAAACCTGAGTTATTTCAGCTTACAAACTAAAAGAAAGTCATGGATAAGATGCACAGTTGTTGAGAAATTTGCATGCGACGGAACAGGAAGTGATGTCAAAGGTTAACGTCTCCATGGAACAAAGCATTAATAAAATAGCTAACGACAAAGACTGTAGAGAATAATCTGATGCTTYTTTATATTATTTTGAGTCACTCAGAGAGAGATGAAGACGAGTCAGAGTTCAAATAATATTGTTTCAGTAAACAAAGATTACAAAGTTCTCTCTTAGAGTTCCCCTTTGATGTCACTTCCTGTTTCACTTTGGCTGAGCCAAGTTCAAAATATGCCATTTTTGTTACAAAATGGGTAAAATCACATTTTGTGCAAGGTTTATTATATAAAAGTTTTCTTTGACTTTTTGTATTTGATGGATACGTATGTCACTGGCACTTYAAAAGTTGTGCACAACTCCTGTTTTTGATTTACACACACTGCAAGATGTAAAATATAAAAGCTGAAATTGTTGCATGTTCCTTTTGTAAAAGGTATTTATGCTAAAAAAAAAAATATAGTGCACCCAATCAGTATCTGAAAACRTACATTTTTCTGAGCGATTTTTTACACCATCAATTCAGTAATTCACGCATTCTAGGAAAATAAAAATTGGCATGATCATTTCATACATTGTGGTCAGGCAATATATTTGTTAATGTCTTTGAAACAACATTCAATAAATTAACTTTGGGTCTAWTAACAGCCCAGTCTAAACTGAGCAAAGACTTTGTCACGGTCAATTTAAAAATWAAATCCAATAATTTCAATTAGAACACGCTTGACAGATGAAAAAAAGCAAACATAAAACCACTAGGACCATCAACGGTAGAGAGCATTTCTTTTTTATTCAGCAGATCACAGCAGTAACAGGACATGGTTATCATCGACAGTAAAACTGATACCTCCACTGCAGAAAGTTTTGTTTTCCGTCATTTCTGTGGAAAACTAAAAAAACATCTGTCTAAAGCTTCGACATTAAAAGGCTGTCACTAAAAAACTGCAGATGTGATCCAGGACAGTAAGAGCTTTTTGGAGACTGATATAGGAAAAGAGGAATGGTTGTCAATCTGAGCGGAATGATGCTTTGAATCTCTGAAGTTATGACCTGACAGGTAACAGATCGAAATGTTGCCAAAACCTTTTGAAATATATTCAGTGACTGTTTAATCTGTGCATCTAGCTGGACTTCAATTGGAGAAATGTTGACCAGAAGGTACATGAGTCGGGCACACTGCACTCCAACATAAGCAGCAATGCAGGGTTAGTGAGCTGCAGATTCAAAGCCACAAGATGGCAGCAGAGGGGCTAACAGGTCTTGAGATGGGGACCATTTGGTTGTAAACCAAGCACAAAAATAAAACGTCACTCTTCAGTTTGCAAAGGTCTGGCGAACAGCGGTGACGATGTGCTTGGCACTGATGCCAAAGATGTCCAGGAGCTCCTGGGGCTTGCCACTGCGGGGAACACCAGAAACTGCCAGGCGGGTCACAACGATTCCAGGCTCACTTCCCACTGCAGACAGCACTGCTTCACCAAGACCACCTGGACATGGAATGTGAACCAAAAATACATAAACCCTCAAATATCCCATGAAGGTAATAGATTTCACAGCTGAACATCAGTCTGCATCTAAGATTAAAAACTAAAACAATGACATAATGCTTTTATTTAAAAACTAACTTCTGCTGAGATTTAGAAAAACACAACCAGTTTTAAAGGGTTCCAGTGATTAAAGCATCAACATGATAAAAACACAATGCAACTCTATTACATGGAAGAGGAAAATGGAGGAAAACCCTTACCCTCTTTGTAGTGATCCTCTACYGTGATGATCTGTCCTCCTGTGGCTCTGGCATGGCTCAAAATGGTGGCAGCATCCAGAGGCTTGATGGTGAATGGATCAATTACACAAATGTTCTTTCCTGTAAGGGGAAAACGTTTTCTGATTTATACTGTACATACTGGCTGAGTAATCTTTTAGTGATCCAGTTCCTAGTGTAGTAAAACACAGGCACACAACAACTGGACARTTTGAATCTACCTTCGCTTTTAAGAATATCATAAGCAGCCAAGGCTTCATGAAGAGTTACACCAGCTCCAATCACAGTCGCCACATCACTGTCAGACTCACGCACCACCTGGACAGCAATACAGTCATTTATGAGTTGAAGTAACACAGATGCATTCGTATTTTTACATATAAGAAACATCTGGAGTGGAAAAGCAACTAGGTATTACAGATTACCTTAGCAACACCCAATTCAAACTTCTCCTCAGGAGGGTAAAGTACCGCGGTGTCTGGTCGACTGGTACGAATGAAACAGATTCCCTGAGCGAGAGGAGAAAAACAATTTAAAAAGTGTTATTTCCTTGAATTTTATGCAGATATTTACTGGAAGATCTTGAGGGAGGCTTCCAACCTTTGTGTTCGCAGACAGTTCAACAGCCCTCTCTGTCGACACGGCATCACTAGGATAAAATACTGTACATGTTGGGATGGCTCGGAACATGGCCAAGTCCTCGAGTGCCATCTGGGATGGACCATCCTCACCTGAAGGCAGAAATGGTAAGTATAGATTGCACCAATTGGTAATCATGCAACAAATGACAAGTGTCAGCTTATGTCTTACCGATGGAGACGCCACAGTGAGATCCAACTAGGTTGACGTTTGTCTGGGAGATGGCTCCCATACGGATCTGATCATAGGCTCTGGAGAGGAATGCGGCAAATGTGCTGGCAAACGCAACCGTACGGTCACGTGTGGCACAGCCAATGGCCACTCCTACCTGGAAGTATTAAACAGACCCATAGGTTAGTTTAACTCATACCCGATCAAACAGATTTTAGTGGTGAAAAATGAATATAAGTAACAATATCAAAAGTAACCAAAAGACACTCAGGGTTTGCCATGCCATTTACCATATTCTGTTCAGCGATGAAACATTCAATGAAGCGTTCAGGGTGGGCTTTCTTGAAGAGTTCAGCAAAAGTAGAGTTTTTAGTGTCTCCATCAAGAGCTACCACTCTCTTGCTTGCTTCGCCCAATTTGGCCAGTGCAATACCATATGCTCGCCGTGTTGCCATCTAAAGTAAAGAAATGGTTCAAGTTTAGGTAATATAATAAATGTAAAGAATATAAATGAACATGCGTTAAGTAAGGGTCATCGTAGTGACCTTAAACAACGGGAAGACAGACAAGACCAGATTTTATGTCAACTTTATTCACAGGTTGCCACTTCCTTAAAGAAAAGTTATATCCCTAAAAGCCCTTTAAATTAAAAAAATAATAAATGAATGAATAAAAAGCAACTTGAGGTACCTTATCTCCAATCTTGTAAGCTGGCGGTGAAGGCAGCGAGATGAGGCTGAGATCAGCTGGTGCTGTGTCGTCGTTGGGCAGCTGAGGGCACAGAGTCTTATTGGGGACCTGAATCTGAGACTGCAAGTCCTTCAGGATACTGTCCAGTTTATCCTTTGGAATGGGCTTTCCATGCCAGTTATCTTGATCTTCAATGTCTAAAAACGTAAGAAGTGAACAAGCGCTGTGTATTAAATTAAGAAATTATTTTTTAAAAACAAGTACGAAAGTTTCTATACACTTACTTTTGAGGGCTTTTCCCTTAAATGTCTTTGCAACAATACAGGTGGGTTTATCCTTGACCTGCTGAGCCTGCCAGAAAGCTTTACACAGCTCCTCCACRTCATGTCCATCCACAACATACGTGTTCCATCTACACAGATTTAACAGAAAATCAGTCATTACTATAAATATTAACTACAGAGGTGGAAACAACATGTGAGCAACCCTGTTAACTGTAAATCTTAACTCTGAGGGAGACAAAAGGCCAAACATGGGAATTCATTCATGCAGAGTGGAAGCTGCTGACTAGCCACAAAATTCACAACCTCTACAAAGAGCTTTTGAAATTTCACTGCAGTACGACTCCATTTATTAAAATACTTGATACTTTGATGGGTTTTATATAAACACATTTAATTTTCTTATAGATCACAGGAGAAAAATGGTGTCAGTTTGTTACTGACCCAAAGGCTTCGCAGCGCTTGCGGTAGGTCTCCATGTCGTGCTGCAGGGGTGCAGCCTGACTCTGACCCAGCCGGTTGACATCCAGGATCGCCACAAGGTTGTCCAGCTTGTAGTAGGAGGCAAACGCCATGGCCTCCCAGACCGACCCCTCTGAACACTCTCCATCACCCATCATGCAGTACACACGATAACTGTCGTGTCAAAAACAAGGGGAKGAGGAAGTAAGGAATCACTATCATTACAAAAATGGTCAATACATGACATGAGTTTAGAACAGGTATTCAGACCTAATGCTCTCTCAAAACATAGTGTTGATTTAAAAGATTTCTAATAGCAGTAAATATACTTTTTGAGACAAACCTAATACTATAAACAATTACAAAGGAAGTAGAACACATAGTCCACACTATGCATGGGTTAAAAAACAAAAATGGCTGTAAAATACACATTTAAAAAAAAATATATGTATAAAGGTGCAGGAAAGAGCCAAAGTCTGTATTACRATTGCCTCATTCTGTTGCAGAACTGCTGATAAACCCTGGCCTTTAATAGATCAGCGTGTTCGATGCAATACATACATGACAAAAAATGCTTTTTGATAAGCARTGCTGTTGTGAAACAAAAGTTCAACATGACAGTATTGATTTAACAKTAATGAAATCTGTCAAACATTTTAATGCGGTAATTTTAATAAAAAAAACTGAAATATTTCAGCCTAATGATGACTGGTATTCTGTGAAGTGTTTGATCATTACGACACAAATGTAGTAGTACTACCACTACTATTACTGGAACCATTTTGGACCCATACTGACCTGGATTTGTCAAAGTATTTTCCAGTATAGGCCATCCCACAGGCCGCTCCGAGACCCTGTCCAAGAGATCCTGTAGCCACATCAACAAACTCCAGTTTCTGTTGCATTATAATAGAACAGGGGAAAAAATTAATAAAAAGCAAAATTTACATCTTTAGGAAGCAAAACAACAAACAACATACATAAAAAAGGGACCAAGTCAGGTTTTCAGACTTACTGGTGTAGGGTGCCCCTCCAGTTCACAGTCAATCTTGCGCAAATTCAGAAGATCAGATTCCTTCACAAAACCTGCCTCTGCCCAGGCAGCATACAGGACTGGTGCTGCATGACCCTGATAAGAAGTAACAGTGTTGACATTGTTTCTTAGCATGCTCTCCACAAAAAAAAAAAAACCTCCGCTTTCATAGAACCAAAACACTAACCTTTGAGAGCACGAAGCGGTCATTGCACTGGTTACGAGGATCATCTGCCTTGTAGCGCATGGTTTGGAAGAAGAGCACAGACATGAGCTCTGCTGCACTGCAGCATGATGTGGGGTGGCTGAGGAACAAGAATCAAAGCACCCATTCATTAAAAAGGTGGACATACAAATGCAATTCCATTAGTATGAAGTGAGGAAACATGCACATATATGGATGTGCTGTTAAATTTAGAACACGTGTTGGGAATTTAAAAGTGAAATCACACATTACTTTTTTTTTTGAGTGTGTGACAACTTGAAACCTTACAAAAAACATTGATAGCTTTTGACGAACTTCTTTTTTCAGTCAATAGCATGTTAATGTTTTACAAAAACCCCTCAGGTTACCACACTTTGGCTCTCAGAACTAAGAAGAGGTAAGCAAGCTTGTGAAACTGTTAGTTGTTGCAAATGGTTTGGAGTCTTGTAATCAACCCTTTTAGAAATTTAAAAATTACCCAACAGATCTAAGCTTCCCTTTGCGGTTAAGTTCCAACTAGTACCATTGAAACCATGCTGCAAACATACAGTTACTACATATCAGTTCTTGTTAAGTTTTGTCCAAGACCCCTTTGCTGATTTACCACTCGTCCTCATGTTGAGAGATAACCCACTGAAAAACAAAGCAAGGCAACTTCAGAAAACTGGGAAAATGAATCAAGATTCTGCAGTGGACTGGTGTAGTGTTCTGAACTGGGTTAATAAATGAGGAACAATGTGAAGTGTTGGGCATACTAAAAAAGGTGCGTTTATAACAGTTTGAGCAATCAAACATCAAAAGGCCATCAATTCCTTGTTGAAAACAAAAGGGAGTGAGCAAAACTGGTTTATCAACTAGCCTTTTGTTTGAGAGTGGACAATCTGCACAAAACTGCAATGCTGAGGATGCACAGCAAAAAATAGTATTTGTGTAAAAATGCTGTTGTACTTGGCAAAGTGACCTAAGTGTTGTAAAAGCTGGTTGGGCCTACAAAACTGGTTTAAACCAACAACCTGAGTCTAGTTTGGGATGACAGTATGACACACTCCCTACTATGGTCGAGACTCAAATAGAGGTATTTATCATTCATTGTAATCCACAAAAGAAACCTAAGAGACCAAAGGTGACTGATAAAGCTGTACTCTGTCAACTATTTCCATTTGAAGAGGGAGGAAAAGACATGTTTTRCTTCTTAATTCAGCTGGTAAACTTGACAGCTTTTATTAATTAGATCATAACGTGTTTTCCAATAGACGATAAATGCCAAGAAATCTTCAATATTTTGGTTAAACTTGAATAATATGGAACTTATTAACCACCATGTAAAAGAACGACCTCTTACATAGTTGTATTTTTTTTTTTGCTTTAAAAAAACGTAAATTGTACAAATTTATACTTTATAAAACGTCTTAAAAATCGAATAAATCATTTGCTAGCTACGATGCTAAGACTGCATAACTTGCTGCTATARTAGTTACTACTGAGTGAATATAATCTGCCGCACGTGCAACCAGGCCCGCGGGTAGCGCGAGAGTCAGCTGCACGCTACGATTAACATTGATTATCTTCCGTGGGTTTTTGGATATTTTCCAACGAATAACTTACCCGGAATTAGAGGCGCATGTCGCCTTGATGGAGTTGATCCTCAGCTTGTTAGCGATRTCTTTCAGAGCCTGCAAAGTCTTCTCGTCGGGTTTGTGGTAGCTAGCCATGATCTCTGGACAACTGGAGGCGCGTTGGCTTGAAGAGTTAATGGAGGTTGCTTGACTTGAACCACAGGTGCTAACTGGAGTTTAGGCCCTGGCTAGCTGAGCTGACCTCGGTTAAGTAAATCAGTTAAGTAAGTATCGCTGAGAGGGAGGAGCAATGACGTCACGAGGGACGGCTCGTCTGCTTCTCCTRCCCAATCAAATCATTGGCGGAAGTAGAACAAGTGGTGGTGCGTGCTGCGTAGGATGTGCCGATTATTTCACACAAACCCCTTCTTGTTCAACTTTAGAAATCACTTTTACAGATCTATCTGATCTTTTCTTTCGCTTCCTTTTATAGTTCACAACCTCCTCAAAATATCTGCACTTAAAACCGGTCATTAACAATGGTGAAATCTGGAGACATAGTATCATATTTATCAAAAATAAAATAAAAATTCACTTATTGCTTTAAATAGCTGTTAGATTTAGAAAGAGAAATTGATGTTTGAAGGCATGTGTGAATCCCAGAAACTGTTTTTAAACTATTGTCTGTAATAACATTTGTGTTCGTTTGATTGTCCAAACACAAACATRATGCCACTGTCCCTTTAAAATCTGCAGCAGGGTGGCTTGGCTGCCARTAAGGAAGTGATGGCAAATTTTGCTTTCTCATCCTAACATGGGGAAAAAAATGTCTTAAGAGTACAAGGTTCAAGTTTTCATCCCACAGACAGCATTCTTCCTACATTTCCAAGAATAAATCAGAGGAGGGGGAAAAGTCAAAAAATTTATTGTTAAATGAGGATGTGATGGATTTAAAYATTTTTTTTCAGATGGAGGTGTAATCACAGTTCCTCATTTACACAGCAAAATCTGCCTCTTTTAAAAAAGTCAACTCAATACTTCCTTTTTCTAGCCAACATTATGAAACCTCATGGCTCAGGTATTTCCTCTTCATCAAGTTCCTGAAAGAAGATGCATACATTATTTTTTTTTACCCTTTCACACACACAAAAGTATTATACTGTATTTAAAAAAAAACAAAAAAATGTTTTTTACCCTGATCATTCTTCGAACTTCATTTCTCTCCTCAGGGGAAACAGGTTCTTTGTCAAGTCGCTCCAGCTGCGGCAATATCATTAGCACACTCAGGCGATAGTCTGATATTGCCACCAGTAAGTTCTCAGAAAGGACCAAACCTCGCAGGGTCTGTGACACATGGCCAAGGCTTTGTAACGCCTTTCCATCTTTGATTAAATTACCTCTAAAGAAGATATAAAATTACACAAATTATTGTTTTATAATACAWTATTTCCACACATTTCCTGTTTTGAAAATTCTGACTTCCCCATACTTTGTAAGACTGCATAAGAACACTGACAGTAGTTGTGTTCATACATCTCTGGTTGTCGTAGTTAATGTTACAATACAACAGTGTACCTGACATTGAGGTACTGAAGACACTTCATGTTGGGACTGAGACCATCCAGAGATTCAAGCTGGTTGTCTCGAAGATGGAGAATGGTGAGACGCTCTAACTTCTCCAGACCCTCAAGACGGTTGATAACATTTTTGGCCTTTAGAAAAAGCAAAACATWTCACAAGCAATCTTTACTTTCAACCACTAGTTTAAAGCCTGATAGTACTTGATGTATCTCATTACTGTGTATTACCAGATATAATTTTCTCAAATTTGGAAGGTTAATGCCATTGGTGGTGTCCAAGTGGGCTTCCCTTAGCTCCAGTGTCACCAGATTAGCAAAATGGCTCTTTTGAAAACCGCTCAGTTGCTGAATTGTGTTTCCTGGGAGAAAGGTTTCAAACTGTCCCATCAAAGAATGACAACTAGTATAACTGCCAATCAGGTCAAAAAATATAAAAATTTCACTCTATTTATTGAGACTTATCTTCAATTTAAAAACCTGTAAGAATGAGGCTCTCCAAGGCAGGCCCAGACAGACCATCGAGGTCCGTTAGCCTGTTTGTTGCAATACTCAGCCACTGCAGGTAGGGAAGCTCAGAAAAGGGTTGTCCTTTAAAGGATGCCACAGCATTATTGTCAACCTGTAAGAGTTGCATTCAAGATTCACAACCAATTAAACTTATCACTACTGACAAACACAATGTTTTTTTTTTTTTATTTCTTGCCTTTAACCAAAGCAAGTGATTCAATGTTGCCAGAGGTGACAGATCAGTAATGTAGTTGTGGGATAAGTCCAGGAAGCGTATGTGAACATAGCTGCTGATTGCAACTATGTTGTCCAGTCCTCTGAGGATTTGAGGTGAGAAAAACACAAGGAAAACAAAGTGACTCAGTGCAGACATGACATTAATTTCACTTGCTCTGCCTGTGTGCTTGATTCCTCACTTGTTATTGAGGTCCAGTCTGATAAAAGCATGTCCTAATCTGTTTCCTGTCCGGCACAATAACGATAGCCCCTCACAGATGGTTTCTTTGGTCAGATGGAGAGCTATCTGTAGAGTACATAGAAGAAGTCAAAATGAGGTACTGTTTGAGGTAATGTTCTGTAC